TTTATCTATCTCTCTCTATAAAATATATATAATATATATATATATATATATGTATATATATATATATATATACATATATATATATATATATATGTAAATGAATTAAACCTGATTGACTCAGCTTGTACTGAACAGTCAACATACATAGAACAAACATGTGGATACAAAATGAGGAAGTAGCAGAAATGACGCGTTGGGGAACTTAGTTCCACCGAATGCTGATGTAATTCCGTTTTCTTTTAACAAAATAACAATGTATTCTGAATTCCATTACAATTTATTTAGTCACTAAAACTACTTTAGAGGTATTTGTGCTGTTTTTCACATTTAAAAGGAATTTAAAATATAGTAAAAAAAACAATTCAAAGATACTTATCTTTGTTTTATTGGAGGTTATTTAACAATAAGCTTTTTTTGTAAATAATAAATAAAGCAGACAATAAAAATGGCCAGAACAAAAGTAAAATGTGTTCCAACTTAAATGAACTGAAATCATGAACTTACAGTTAGTTACAGTTTATATATATATAAAAAATTTATATATATTAAATTAAAAAATAAATTAAACTTTTACTGTGGAAATGTTCTTACCAGGGGGTTCTTTGGCAGAAACACTCCCCAGACAGGGGAGAAGGAAAAACAGTATCATCCGCATAGTCGACTCAAAGTAGGAAACCAAGTCAGAAACTGACACCTCAGTCGAAGGTCTACTTATACATCGCAGTATCACTGTGTCGTATGTTTTATTCTCTCTTTTGCGGTTTTCGCTTCCTGTCACAGGAAGCTGTCAGAAGATTGTACATACACCATCAACATGTTGTGTCTAAAAGTAAGAACTGGAGCTCAGACTGCACTGTGTAGTAGTAGAGTACTCAGTTACTACTCAAGGCTACTCTCCATACTCAATACTAAATTCTCTAATTCTCTAAGGGCAAGGTTGCTTTGTCATAAAAACACAAAGGGCAATCCTTTTTTTCTTCTTCTTCTGTACACTGCAAAAAAAATAGCACCGCAATGTCAGCAAACTGCTGTAGGTATTAGCAGAAAAAAAAAGTATGTCGGGTGTACAGAAAAGAGAAAACACGTCAAATTACAAGAATCATGTCCATCTCTGCCAACGAAACATCAACTAATTTCACTTGATAAAACTGCCAAATGCTTAGACATACATTCAGTCAATTATTTTGAATTATTTCAACGCATTTGTTTAAAAGCCTGTTTAACTCGGGAACCGGAAGTATTAATTTGTAGGCTAAAACATCGATCCCAATAAACTCACATCTACATGCACCTTCTTCTTCATACTCTATGACTTGCTATGATGCTTGATTGTTCCTGAAATTGTAAGTCGATCTGGATAAAAGCGTCTGCTAAATGTAACATAATGTACTGTAATGTATTGTAAACGACAGGTTTGAAGACACATCAAATACTTTATCGGGTCAGTTTACATTCACACCGTTGTTGGTATACATCTTAATTGGTGACATTTGGCTTTTTTGTTATTGCCCTATTTTTTTATCAACTGCGCACTGTTAATAAAATTATGTATACATTTATTATGAAAAACCGGAAGTGTGTGTGTTTTGATAGCGGCTGCGGAAGGACCTGTCATTGCTCTCGATTCGTCCAACCGTTGAGGGTTCAGACACTGCAACCGAATTAAAGGAAACGTCAAATGTGACCGCCTGACAGAAAGTCACGATGGGAACAGCACCGAGGCACTTTCTTGGTGTCAAACCGCACAAAGCGCTGCTGCTGCTGCCTTTTCTGCTGACATTCGTGCTCGTCGGGAGCCGAGGCGAGAGCCAAGCTATGGACAATGTCGCAACAGAGAGGATGGCTGAGGAGAGCCACCGCCAGGACAGCGCCAACCTCCTCATATTCATAATGCTCTTAACGCTCACCATTCTGACTATATGGTTGTTCAAACACCGCAGGTTTAGGTTCCTGCACGAAACCGGACTCGCCATGATCTACGGTAAGAGCTAAGAGCCATAGCCACGGCGGTGATGTCAGACATCCATGATAAGTGGCTGCTGTTAGCTCCTCAAACCTGAGGGGCTGTGAGCTCACGATACTGGCTTATTCTCCGGTTTCACTCTGTATAATAGGGGAGCAACGGAGTGAGACCTCGTTCGGAGTATTGTTATTGTGATCCCGTAATCTGTGTGTGGAGTCTAAAATGACTGCATCAATGTATTATCACGGTTAAAAAAAAAAAAAAAACAGTTTAAGGCGCTCGGTATAATTCACTGGCTACAAAACTGTTCCAGTTGTTAGTCACATGACCATTGCTTGACCATTACAAAATCGCTTAAAACTGGAGCTCTGAGACTTCAACTTTTAACGTAATCTGTATCACAGATTGTGCATAAGAATTGGATTTATATAACCGACCCGTTAACGTGAATCAACAGCAAATTCTAGTAGATAAGATATGTTGACATAAACTTTAAAGGTTAGTTTAATTGTTAAATAATTAAATTGGCATACTGTATATAATGGTCAGATCATTTTGAATTATTCCTAGTAATTTATGGAACATTTCCATTGTCACCTGCATCTCTCATAATTTCCTTTATTTTGACAAAATAAAAATATAAATATTGAAATAAATGTGATTTAAAAAAATACATTGTTATCATTATCACCATTTACTGTTTGAAATATTTAATTATTTTATATATACATTTATTAAACACTTAACAGATGATACTTGATGTGTCATCAATTTCTTGCCAAATCGTGTGAGTTAACAAATGACTATTGGATGGAAAAAAATCACTTTGTTCTTGTTCGTCCTAAATTTAGTCTAACAAATGTCTAGTGGATAATTTGGGGGGAAACAAACATGTCATTATTTGTAAGGAAAATATTTTAGTGTGTAGTGTAGTGTGTGTTTCTGCCTACCACTTATCTATTTGCTTTGCTTTCTTTTGAAGGCCTTTTGGTGGGTGTGATCCTGCGTTTTGGCGTGCATGTGCCCCAGAGCACGAATGACCTGGTCCTCAGCTGTGCGGTCAACGCCAGTCCTGCCACACTATTGGTCAACGTCAGCGGTCGCTTCTACGAGTACACTCTGAAGGGAGAGGTCAGCCGCAGCAAAGGCCACCAAGTGCAGGACGATGAGATGCTGAGAAAGGCAAGAGAACAGACAGATGGCGCTCATGTAGTCAACACAGTAATTAATTCACAAGCAAATTTGCAGTTATGTCAATCCGTGCAGTTAAACATACCCTGTTGGACTCTACATAGTCTGAGTAAGAATCACTGCAGCACATCTTCTCAGGTAGCAGCCATGTTCAGAGACATGTTTCCACCAGAGGAACTGTGACCTAAATTAAATTCTAGGACAGAGAGATAGTGAGCATATGTTTCCAGTATTATACTTACACACCAGAGTACATAAAAAAGTAACATAAATTACAACCTAAAAAAGGAGGACATGTCTATCATTTGAACTTGATCAGGACATGAAAATCAAGCAATGCAAAGCTAAATATATGCAGTAAATTGAAACATTTGGCCAACATTGACTGAATTGTCCAATTTGTTAGTTAGTAAAAAAAAAAAGAGTAAAGCCATAAAATCGGACCGTGTGCCTTTGGTGCCTCATTACATGCTCAAAATATCATTACCAATGCTGTACAACACGAACCGCTTCCTTATAAAAGACAACACTGCCAGATGTGTCCATTAACAATGGAAACATGATGCCAAGCATGGTATTTTACCGTGTTTCCTGTTTTTCAGGTGACCTTTGATCCAGAGGTGTTTTTCAACATTTTACTGCCTCCCATCATTTTCCACGCTGGATACAGTTTGAAACGGGTAAGGATGTGTTGCAAATATGCAAATATGACCTAACTGGACAGTTTATTATTCTAGTGCTGCTAGTATGGGTTGATCGCCTTGGTTTTAGAATTTACTTAATTCTTAGGGGCACATGCTTTACAAAAAATGTTGATATTTCCACATTAACATGATGATGCAACATGATCAGGGAGATGCATGTAGTGCACTGTGGGCATGTGAAAAAAAGCCATTGTCAGCAACAATATTCTAAGCTGTGTTTTTTTTTTTTTTTTAAATGGTGGTCATTGGTTACTAAACGACAGCCAACTCCTGTTGAAGCACATGTTAAAGACCGTGTCTTCATGTCTAAATGCATTGAGTTGCAGTCATCTTCAGATATTAACTATACCTAGCAGGTAAACTAGTAGTGGTCAACATCATTTTTTTGATGATAGATTTTCTTGAACTGGCATCACTGTCTGTTTCAGAGACATTTTTTCAGGAACATCGGCTCCATCCTGGCCTACGCTTTCATCGGAACGGTTATTTCCTGCTTCATTATCGGGTAAGTTCTGCTGTTATCTCGGAGAAGACGTCAGACGATGTTGTTAATTATGATCTAACAGTTATTGTTTCTTTTTTTTTTTTTCATAGGTTGATCATGTATGGCGTTGTTTCCTTCATGAAAATGGTGGGACAGCTGGGGGGAGACTTTTTCTTTACTGACTGTCTCTTCTTCGGGGCCATTGTTTCGGCAACGGACCCAGGTTAGTTCCTGTGACGCAAGTAATCGTGGTCTTTGTGGTCAATCAGTACCAGTGGAACCAACCAGGGATAATTATCTAAAGAAATGATCTATGTGTGTGTTTATTTTAGTGACAGTTCTGGCCATTTTCGCGGAGCTCAAAGTGGACGTGGACCTGTACGCTTTGCTCTTTGGGGAGAGTGTCCTCAATGACGCCGTGGCCATCGTTCTTTCATCGTAAGTACTGATTAAAAGATACAGAAATAGGCACAACATTCCACACCTAAAGATGTTCCAATTCAAATTCACATTTTGAAAAAAAAAACAAAACCCCCCCAAAAAAACAAAACACTCAGGTGATGTAATTTTACTGTCTGCACTTCTGTGAAATGTGTAATTAATTCATTCAACCAAAACCCCCCAAAAAAAACAAAACACTGATGTCATTTTACTGTCTGCACTTTTGTGAAATGTGTAATTAATTCATTCAACATTTTCTTTGACAAATACTAAAAATATGAAGTGGTCACTGACCTGAACTGTACACAGGCCTTGTCTGACAAGTGTCACTGTTTATGTTGTATGTTGCACATAACCTTTGCCTGGACCATACTAACTATCACCCCGTGTCATTTCAATGCCTGCCTTCCTTCATCCACCCATGTCATTCATCGCCGGCCTGTACGTATGTCTGCAGTGTCCTCCTGCGTTTGGAGAAACAGGGTGGGCAGGCAGCTGGAGCCGTTCACTCCTCAGGAGATGAAGGCCCAGTCTGGCCTGAGGGGGCGGAGGAATGGCTGGCACAGAACCAGACATTGAGCCCTCGGTGGGTGGGTGGGTGGCTTTGTAAGATAGCTGCCTCTTTTTGCATGTTTTTTTTTTTTTAGTGCTAGATCCTGGTCATGTGCATTCAGTCAGTGTGATGCACAACTTTTCTCTAGTTAGACCCCTTGTAATTGTAATCCCTGTTCTCCACCTGTTCCAATCAAACATGTCCATCCTTTTCCTTCTTCACTGCAGAACCAATGTCTTAAACATGCCGTAAACTGTAACAAATATTTGGTACTTTTTGGAATTCAAATCAATTTATTTAAACTTTTTAGTCTTTTGACCAGACCTTCACAAATAAAAGCATGGAAATTCCCTTTTTTTTTTTTTTTTCAAAATGTGTCTATCCTTGTTGCATGGCAACGAGCCAAAGCTAAATGATCCAGGAGAAATGAGCATGTGAGACCCAGAACCCTTTGTTTGGTAAAGCTGCTGTCAGTGATATTGTACAGTAGACGACTTCTTATCTTTCTGTGTCCACTGTCATCTCTGTTTGAAACGCAAAGCTTAAAATCATTAACTTAAGTCACATTTTTCTCTGGCAGTGTTTCTTATTAATATCTGACCTGAACTCATGCCTTTTGTTAGCTTTACAAAAACAAATCATTTCTTGACTTTTCAAATATATCTTATGTGTTTAAGACACCTGGTGACCCGACAAGGAAGTAAGACAAACGAATAAATGTACGTAAGGTTTAAAAAAAATAAAAAATAGAAAGTCGAAGAACAAGTCTAACAAGCAATAGCTGAGGACCAGAAGAGTAAAAAGTGAAAATGCACTGTCGGGTCGGGACTCAAACCAGCAATCCACCGTGCTTTTTTAGTGCCAACTAAAAATGTATTTCGCTGACAGCAACTTTTTTTAAGTTTCAGTTAAAATGATCTAACCCTGAATCTGCGTGTCTGTACCTGGGCATTTGTTACCTGACCAACTTTCACTTCCTGAATTCCTGAATTCTCAGTAACCACTTCACCTCCTGTTTTCATGTAAATAGTTTCATATCTTTTGTCTGCTGCTGTCTGTCTGACCTTCAGCTCCATCGTGGCGTACCAGCCTGCAGGAGACAACAGCCACAGCTTCGAGGCCATGGCCATGTTGAAGTCCTTTGGCATCTTCCTGGGGGTCTTCAGCGGGTCCTTCGCTCTTGGAGTGGCCACCGGGGTCATGACCGCTTTCATATCTTTTCACTTGTTCCTCCAGTTCCTTCAGTTAAATATTGATAATAAAAAAACAATTTTTAGTTGTTGTGGAGAAGGTTCCAACTTCAAGTTGTCAAAATAGGTGCCTGACCACCATAGAATGAGATCTAGAATTCAGAGACCAGGACCCTTCGTGTAGAAGAGTTAGGAATGATTGAAAATAATTTCTAAATAGCAGGGTGGGAATGCACTTGCTGTTTTTTAGAAATCCTGTTGGTCCACTGTGTAGTTGAAACACTGCTTATAAAAGTAATGTAGAGTCTATTGGTTACATAGAGTTTGGTTTCTTTGTATTTTGTTAATATTTTATTGTCCTTGTCATTCTGCAGGACAAACACTTGTCTGTTGTTTGTTTCACTTCCCGTTTTGTCCTTGACTATCAGTTTTCATCACGTGACCAAGTTCACCAAGTTGAGGGATTTTCCTCTACTGGAGACTGCGCTCTTTTTCCTCATGTCCTGGAGCACTTTCCTCTTGGCTGAAGCCTGTGGTTTTACAGGTACAACAGGGTCGTTGACCTTACTGTGATTTGACTCCACTGTGGAGTTTACTAGGGTCTGACTTTTTCTTCTGGAGGACTATTAGAAATGAGGTTAACACAACATAGGGGAAAGTGAGCTAATAGTTAGCCAAAAAAGCAATAATCTGCCATTGGATAATTTAAAAGTAAAAAGCTAAAAGACAAGAAACTCAATCTGATCGGGGAGAGTGTTTGGAAAGTCCCTAAATTTCCAGTAGGCTGGTGTCAATTGTTTTTTTTTTTCTTCACTACTCAGGTGTGGTGGCTGTTCTGTTCTGTGGCATCACTCAAGCTCACTACACCTTCAACAATCTCTCTCCTGACTCCCAGGACAGAACCAAACAGGTGAGAGAGGACAGGTGTCAGTCTCTGTTAACAACCACGAGTGGTGAAAATGACTCATGTTTCCGTTTTAACTGATAAACAGAGACACAAAAGAACCGAGTTGGTTGCGTACGTCTATGAAGAAATGTCAAAAATGTGAAGAAGGTGGATTTGGCGATTACTCAGAAAAGAGGATGTAGATGTTCTGAGGAAAGAATCCCCAGCTGGTTGTTGTGGTTTGCCATCCATCTGCCTCTATTTTTGCTACATTTTGATGTTTATTTACTGAACACAGGTGGATACGTGAACTGTTGTCATTTAGGCTATAAATGATTGTGTGCTCTGGCGTCGTCTATGGTTACACATTGTGTCTATGATATTGCAAATATGATTACATTTTTAATCGTCACCAGGGCCACCTGCTGGGTGGGAGTTGTAAAAAAAAACAAACAAAAAAACCCACACCCAAAACATTTGCTTGCTCTATTTGGTTCGATTGTGTGCTCTGCATCAGTGACAATAATTCACTTTCACTTTCTGTCACCCTAACCAAAAAAAGAAAAAAGGAAAAATAACAGTTACAGCAAAAAAAAACCCCAAAAAAACCCTTTTGGTGAGGGCACCAAAATGACTGGAGTCAGCCGTGAATGCAAATAATGCCATGATGTGACCAATGAGGAACAAAATGAAGGAACACTTCACTTTTGTCACAAGTGCCTGTTTCACCCAGTTTCCCCTCTGTGTTTTTGCTGTTGTCTCTTCTTACCATCAGCTATTTGAGGTGCTCAACTTCCTGGCAGAGAACTTCATCTTCTCCTACATGGGTCTGACTCTCTTCTCCTTCCAGTCGCACGTGTTCAACCCTCTGTTCATCATCGGAGCCTTTGTATCCTTTGACTCTGTGCGACAAACACAACCAATTATTCAATGTTTGTGCTTTCCTAAAAACAACATGTCGTCGGTTAATGATACACACCGTGTCTTTATTTTTTGTTAGTCCTTAACCTTCCTGCGTGACCCAGGTGGCAGTGTTTGTGGGCAGAGCAGCGAACATCTACCCGTTGTCCTTCCTGCTCAACCTGGGCCGTAAGAACAAGATCGGATCCAACTTTCAGCACGTCATGATGTTTGCAGGTGTGTTTAAATACGGTCTGGTTTTGACACCCGAGTGTGGGCTTCTCATTTAGGTCTAGAATCTTCCACTCAGACACCACGGCACCACTTCAAAAACACAGACAGGAAACATTTTGACCTGTTGAGGTGAATACATAGTGACAATATTGAATTAAAAAAAAGTGTTATATATTTTAAGAAACAAAAAAACAATTTTTAGACAGGAAAATGATGTCAAGCGTTTAGATGGAAGTTGGTGACACTTTTAAAAGTGCTGTTAACCAGAGATCATTTTGTGGCTCTTTTTATCTGACGTATGAAACATCAACACTCCCACTTCTTTGTCTGTTATGACTCCACACGTCTGATGACATTTACTGACACAGACCAGTGAAAGGAAACACCATTATCTTATCACAACCTTGTATTTAACCATTTATTTTAAAATCATATGCAGAGGGGTTAACTTAACTTTTGCAAAATTACAAGTTACAAAATGATCCTGCCTGATCATTATTTGAAAAATATAAAATATTTTCAAAATGATCCTGCCTGATCATTATTTGAAAAAAATGTAGTATAAATTGCAAATGAATTCTGTTGCACCTCAGTCCAACCAATCCCCACAAAAATTCTCTAAAACAAACCTTT